AACATAGGAAATATGATATATTATTAAATATAAAATATGCTCTCATTTTTATATGTAACTATATGTATATATACATTCTAAAAAGGCTGTAGAGATACTGACCCAAATGTTAACAATTTCTCTCTCAGTGAAGATTATAGATGATTTTTTGCTTCTTCGTGCTTTTCTTTTCTTTTTTTAAAATTATTTTATTGAGATCATATTGGTTTACAACAGTGTGTAATTTCAGGTGTACATTATTATATATCAGTTTCTTTATAGACTGCATCGTGTTCACCACCAATAGGCTAGTTTTTATCTGTCACCATACACATGTGCCCCTTTACCCCTTTCACCCTCCCCCTCCCCCTGTCCTCTCTGGTAACCACTAATCGGTTCTCTTTATCCACTTTTCTAAGAAATTTCTACTGTGTACATTTGTACAATGCACAGTGAAAAATGGCTGTATTTCTTTTTTATCATTATCTAATTACAGCCCATCACCAACATCTCTGTCTTGGCTCCCACCATTTGCATTCTTCACTCTGACAGTCATGGAGGGGCTTTACCTATTCAATAACCTTCCTGATATTTGAGTTTTGAAGGAAACTTTTAAGTCTGGAGATATCCTGAAGGTAACTATATATATTACTAACTTTTTCTCATTAATGTAGAAAATTAAGTATGGCTAGAGTTAAAGAGCTATATGTTCCTTCTAAGAAGAAACCTGAATTAAAACTTGGATAAAAACAAATTCAACCTAGAGTTTTGAAGCTTATCTGCATTTAGCGCAAACAAAGTAAATAACACTCTAATTTTGTATAAATTATTTTATTAATAGAATACTCTATCTTGTACCAAAGATATAACATTCAATGTAATGGAATTCATTAGCATTTCAGAAGTTTTTGTTTTTGAACTGAGGAGGACCTCTGAGTTCATTCAGTCTAATCACCTATTTTATAGATAAGGAAGAGACCAGGGAGGTTAGTGATTTGCCTGGAGTCACAGAGCTTGAGGCTTGGCCAAAACCCCAGGTTTCCCAATTCCTAGGCATTGCTGCTTCCATTTCACTAAGTTCTCTGGGCTTATTTAAAAATCACTATTTTTATCTCTGGTACAATGGCATTTTACTTAACTTTTCCTTAAACTATTCAATGTAATAATTATTCACTCTAAAAAACTTAATGTGTAAATCTGATTAACCAATGCCTTCCTTTCTCTAGCATTTACTTCTCCTCAATCCTTTTTGGAAGATGGTAGATAAAGACAAAAAAAGCAATCACACATATACATATATACATTTAAAAACAACAATGAAGGAAATTGGCTGTAGAAATATTTATATAAAACACTAACAGGATTTGCATAGATATTCACAATTTTCACTGAACAAAATCACAGTACTCAGCAGGTTTAATTTTCTCAAATTTCTGGGCTGATAACCTAATCAAGTACTTAACAAAACAACATGGATCACTGCTTTATCCTCTAATGTGTGGATCTGTGGTCTCACTAGAGTGCGACTTCTGGCCCTTTTCTCTTTTTCAGTTTATTCATGTTCTTCTATGCTAATCTCCTTCTATCTTGATTTTCCAATAAGACTTTTCATCTATAACCTACACGTCTTGAAGGCACCAACCACTGAAGGGAGCAAAAATCTCAATTCAGAAGAATAGGTTTTGCAAATCACCCTGAACAAGATAAGATTTGACGGGATTTCTACAAATTCAGTATAATCCATAATACTCTGCCACAGTGACACATCGTATTATGTTATATTATATTAGATTATGTTATATTATATAATGATCACTCTTTAGAGTAAAATCCTATAACTCCAAAAATAAAGATTCATTTTTACTGTGCTTCCTAAACTATAAAACTGTCTTAGAAATGCAAAGGAGGTTTTTAATAATGAGTTTAGGGGGTGAGGAATTCTATCCTGGTTCTAACTTTATCTCAATTCCATTTCTCAGCATAGTCTAGTAGAAAGCACATTTCACTGGTAATGAGAAGCCCAGGCCCTAATTCTTACTCTTCCACACCCACTGTCCTGATAGATGATATTGGGAATGTGCCTTATCCTCTATAAACTTACATTTTCACCTGTATAACAGAGGTAATACCTCCGGTGCCGCCATCACAGTACTGCCAAAAGGAGATAGGAGATAATTCACGTCAAAAGGAGGAAGGGAACTCACGGGTATTCTGTATCTCTTATCTCATTTAAGCCAGACAACAACCCTAGAAAGAGGTACTATCTATGTTTTTCCTTATATTACAGATGAGGAAACTAAAACTCGAAAAACCAAAATGACTTGTCAAAGGTCACAATGCTGCCACAATTTGCGTGCCCCTAAGGTTCATGCTTCTCTCAGTAGACTAGACTATCTGTTCCTGCATTTCAGAGCAGTACAAACGTATAACCAATTCTTAGTACCAGAGCAGTTGTGGAGCACCTAACTGTGTGCCTTATAAGAGATAAAGAGAGTACTGTGGTCAGGGAGGGCAGTAGGTAAGAGCTCATACTCTGGAGACAGACTGCTTAGGTTCAAATCCTAGGTCTGTCCCACATCAGCTGCATAACCTTAGATAAGTTTATTTAACTTCTCTGTATCACAGATTTCTTCTAAAATTAGGCTAATAACAGTCTACATATTATAGAACTGTCATGCAGACTAAATGAGTTAATAAGCGTAGAGTCTTAAGAATGGTGCTTGGCATTTAGTAAACACTACAAAAGTGTTAGCTATTACTATTTCTCTTTATTACTTATCATATGGACATTTAAAAATGTAAGACATTTTTACATTTCACAAAGACATTATGAAATAGTTTGGGTAGAAAAGACACGCAGACCTGAGGTAACTGGTGAACTCGAGGAAGGCGCTAACCGGGCAGTTCCTGGGATGGATGCAAAAGGTGTTTGAGAAGGGTCAGCTTAGCACAACCAAGTCTGTGGAACCTTCAGAAGGCCCATGGCTGGGGTAAGCAGCAGCAGAGAGGAAGGGAAGGGGGGCAGAGCTGTGGCTGATACAACGTGATATATACATGCAGTATATAAAATGACATATGCGAGTGCCATACTTTTAAAAACAGGGATGTGAAAGAAACAACTACCTTTGCTGGGAAATGGTGGAATTGCTTGCCTATTTCTTTCCTCTTAGCTGTTTCTGAAAAACCTAGCTGAGGTAGTAGCCCACATTATAAAATAGTCACCAAAGCAAGATCATTTCTGCAACTTCCCAAAGTGAAATCAGGGCCATTTTCCACCTTACTGTGATAAATGGCAGAATTTTCATTTCACTTAAATATATAAAGGGCAGGTGATTACTGATCTCTTCCACCTCCTCATCTCTCTCCTTTTCTTTAAAAATGTCTGGGGAGGTTATCACTAAGTGAAAGAGTAAGTGGATGACATCATTCCAAGTCTTCTAGACAATGAAAGACTATGACTATTTTAGTTTAGTCCCTTGATATGGTCTCAGTTGAATACAATTCTAAAATAATTAAATGTTAAGTTGAGAGGGAATCTGGTATCTTCTGATTATTACAAGAACATACCACTTGTAATAATTTCTGCCTTCAAGTTACTACTATAATTTAAAAAAAAGTTAGTCAAAGTGGCAAAACAAGATGTCCGAAGATGAAGAGTTCAATGTGTTAATGATTTGCATTTAAAACATACACATTTTAAGATTTGTATGTTTTCTCATTCTATTCTCTTATACCTTATCACTATCTCTAGTGTAAATAGTGTCAGGGGAGAGGGAGAATCCCTCTCCACCCTTTCCCTTAAGGTTCTTATGGCTGGCCAAATAATTAACAAGACAGGTTAGCAGGAGAAAATAATACCAAGTTTAATAACATGTATACACGGGAGAAACCAGGGAAACTGAGTTTCTCAACAAAATGGCAGAGATTCTCGTCTTAAATACTATCTTCAGCTAAAGACAAAGGAGGATGTTGGGGGTGGGTGGTGTTTTGGGATTTCAGAGAGGAAGAAGACAATTTATATGAAGAGGGAAATGTAAATGTTTGTCAGACAATGCTTTGCAGGGCCACCTGTAGAGAATGTGGCTGGAGAGACAGGAATTACAGTAATCAAGAGTATGTACGTTTAAATCTTTTCCTTCCATACTGCACAGAGAAGGCCACCCCCCCTTCTCAATACAGAGAGGGAGATACCTTTACAAATGGAGATTTCCCTTATCAGTGTAAAGGTTTGTCTGGCACTCCTTTACAGGGCCATCTATAGAGAATGTGGCCGGAGAGACAGGAATTATAGTAATCAAGAGTATGTAGATTTAAGTCTTCTTCTTCCGTCCTGATAAGAGTTTTCACACATAAGGTCATCCCCCCTCTTCCCACTACACAGAGGGAGATACCTTTACAAATGTAAATATTTGGTAAACAGAACTTTGTTAAGAGTGGGCTTAGCATGGATGCTGCCAGTCTGTCTACACCCAGAGTTAAACTCCTTTAGGCAGTTTGAGGGAGGGCAAATGTCCGTCAGAGAAAATAATCAAGGTAAAGAGATATATTTCAGGGTAGCCAAATCTTGATCTCCCACAATAGAAATGGAAAAACGATTTGTAAGTGGTTCACAGAGAAAGCCCAGGAAAGACATTTAAGCAAGACTTACTAGCATCCTCATTCACTCCATAGATATTTATCTTTGAAAAGTCTTTTAGCCTCTGAGAGAAGCGGTTGAAGGAGATCCAAGTATGCCACCCCAAAATACGCCACTTTGGTATAAGGATTGTTTTGAGCTCCCCATCCTCCCCCTCCCTGTCTAAAAGCAGGCTATAGATTTCCCTTTGTCAATGTGTCTCCCTCTCCCTTGCCGAGAAGAGGAGGATGCCTCTTAATCACTGATCAATGGAAAAGACTTGGACTTGAATCTGCATAACAAACCTTGCTAACCAACCCTTATCTTCCATTAGCACCCCCCCTCACTCCATATATTTACCTTCCCACAATTTACCACCCCTAGAAGCCCCAACTCCCTTTCCTTTGTCTTGTCACTTCTCCACAAATTTATCACCCACTGTTAAAATGGTATATAAGCCCCTGGGGTCTAACTGCCTCTTTGGGTCTTCACTTCTTTTCTATGAAGGCCTCTGTACACATACATAAACCTTTCTCCTGTTAATCTGTCTTTTGTCTGCTTAATTTGCAGTACCCCAGGAACTAAACCTATGAGAGTAGAGGAAAAAAGTTTTTTTCTTCACCTATAAGGTCATATCTGCTAAACTCCAGTCACAGAAGGGACTCAAAAAATGTTTGATAAATAATATTTAACAGTCACATAGATTTTGATACAATGTAGAAAAATACAGAATTGAATTCCTGTTCCCTTTAATTTCCTTGAGTATAAAAACATTTTTTTTGTAAATTTTTATTGTTTTCTACTGCAAGTCTTCTCTGATAGTTTATTTTTACAATAAGTTTATTGAGATATAATTCACATACCATAAAATTGACCATTTTAAAGTATACAATTCAGTGGTTTTTAGTATATTCGCAAAGTTGTGCAACCATCATCATTATCTATTTACAACATTTTCATCATCCCCCAAAGAAATTCCATACCATTAAGCAGTCACTTCCCCATTCTGCTGTCCCTCAAGCCTCCAGCAACCACTAATCTACTTTCTGTCTGTATGGATTTGCCTATTCTGGACATTTCATATAAATGGAATCATACAATATGTAGCCTTTTATGTCTGGCTTCTTTCACTTAACATAATGTTTTCAGGGTTCATCTATATTGTAGCATTAATCAATACCTCATTTCTGTTCATGAGGATACCTAATTTTTTAATGCCTTAAGAAATCCATAACACATATGCAAACAAATGATGCTTTCAATAATAAAGATTTGAAATTTCAAGGATATACCCAAGAAAATGTCAAACAATGGAATATAAAAAAACACCCCAGCCTTCACAGACTGACACATTAGGAGGAATTTTCTAAAAAACAAAACAAAAAAACTCTTCAACCTTAGATGGCCTATTATTAATAATATAAGTATAAAATAAACTCAGCAACTTCCCTTATACCACAGCAATCATTATTAAGATGACCACCATTGTTAGTAAAAGTCCATTTTCCTTTTACTTCATAAGGCTTTCATTAAATGAAATAGGTCTTTTTAGACAAAGTCTGTTTCTCTTCTCCAGTTGTACTAACTGCTGGCTTATTCTATACCAACTTTTTTCTCTCTGTGCTTTCTGGATAGGAAGATAAGGAGATTAAGCCCACACAGGTCTTGCCGAGACTGACACTGAGGACACTGATGTCCTGACATGTCCTCAACCTCACTCCTATCCCGCAGAGACCCACCCCATCTCACGGATTAGACACCTCATAGTGCGGCACTCCCCAAGAAGCAGCAGCAAATGCCTGGATATTTCATGTTTGTTGTGAAATCAGGCTCTGAGTGTTTGGATCTGTTCTGCTCTAAAAATCTCAAGTGATTTAGTTATTTTCTGCTAATATGAGGCTGTTTATTGTTAATACTGTCAGAGCTTTCACTTGGATTAATAGAGGATGGCTCGTCAACAATTCAGAGAAGGCACTGCCAGGTCTCCCTCCAGTTCTGCAGCGAGTTAGCAGTGGGGTAAGACAGAGCATATTCAGAGTAAATATTCCACACCTCCTTCTCCCCACACCCACCCTCAGCTGTACAGACAATCCCAGCTGTCTCTCGAGGGCCAGGAAAACTGGGACTGAAGCTGCCCTTGGGTCTCTCCCCTCAATTACAAACTCCTTTTCTACCTTTGAATCATTGGATGTTACAGCTCACTGGGTTTTTGGAGATACCTTGTCCAGTGGTTTTCAATATATGGTTTAAATTTAAAAAAATAGATTTAATTGTGATAAAATACATACAATATAAAATTTCCATCTTAACGATTTTTAAGTGTGTAGTTCAGCAGTGTTAAGTACATTCATATTGTTGTGTAACCAACCTCCAGAATTCTTTTCATCTTCCAACACTGAAACTCTATACTCATTAAACAACTCCCCTTCCCCTCTTCCCCAGACCATGGCAACCACCATTCTACTTCCTATCTCTATGAATTTGACTACTCTAGGTACCACATATAAATGGAATCATACAGTATTTATTTTTTGTGACTAGTTTATTTCACTTAGCATAATTTCCTCAAGGTTCATGCATGTTGTAGCATGTGTCAGAATCTCCTACGTTTTTAAGGCCGAATAATATTCCATTGTATGTATATATAACATTTTCTTTACTCATTCATCTGTCAATGGACACCTGGTTGCTTCCACCTTTTGGCTATTGTGAATAATGCTGCTATACAAATATCTCCTCAAGACCCTGCTTTTAATTCTTTTGTGTATATACTCAGAAGTGGAATTGCTAGATCATACGGTAACTCTATGTTTAACCTTTTGAGTAATCACCACACTCTTTTCCATAGTGGCTATGCCATTTTATATTCCCACAAAGACGGCACAAGGGTTCCAGTTTCTCTAAATCCTCAGCAACACTTGTTCCTTTCTCTTTTTTTGATAGTGGCCATCCTAATGGGTTTTTAATACAGGCTTTTTAATTATATATTTTTTCAGGATACATTTCAGGGTTTCCATAATTCCACAAACAACGAGAAATTTTTGGCCACTGAAGATTGAAACAGTAAATACCTTTTTATCCTGTAAGAATATTTTAGGGGAAAAAAAGTTCTGCTAAACAAAACCCTGATATCTACTGATTTAGACCAAGAAATTCTTCATTTTACATGAGAATAGATGTAATTAAAATGAAAAAAAACTTCCAATTATTAGGCTCTTACTTTGTGCAAACCTTATGAGACACACATCATCTCATTTAATCTCCACAGCAACCTGTGCAACAGATGCTACTAACTCAAATTTACAGGTGAGCCAAGTGAAGTGGGAAGGGGCTACAGGTCAGATGGCCAGAAAATGCCTGAGCTGGGATTTGAACATAAGTTGTCTGATTCCAAAAGCTGTGCTGGCTCTTTCTAGCGGGTCATACAGGACAAAATATATCCAGATAGTGAGTCTCTTCTTAACTTGGGCAAACATTAGCTTCAGCTCTGAATCCAAGTAGCATAATCTCTACACTGAAAATGCTGTTGACACATAATTTTCAACCAAAAGGAAACAGCACATCTCAAAACTAATAAAAATATTCAATATCTAAGAGTGGCTAGTTCAACTCCGTCATTTTAAATAAGAAGAACTCATGGCTTTCATACGTCTTTAAAGGTGTCACTGTTAGTGCTGCTTCAAAAGGAGCCTGCTTTCTGTGTTACAGTAAAAAAAAAAAGCCCCTCCCAGCTAGAAATATCTGAGTAGAGAGACATAAAGTGATTGAACTAAAAGGGGCATTAAAAATTCAATTATAAAGTAATCAGTTACTTTCTACATATTGAAGAAAGTTGTTTTTAAAATACTTATTTAAAATGAGTTAATCCAATGATATTAGATTTCCTATAATGTTTTTAATGAATGCTCTAACTTTAACGAAAAAGTCCACTCCTTTTTCTACCACTCTACCACCAGAAATTCGTAAAAACAAAAATATTAAGGGGCTTTACAATTGTAAATTTTCCACACCCTACATCATTTCTGATGAATGTGGAACTAAATTAATTTCTGTGTTGAATATTTTTCTTTCCCCTCCAGAAAGTAAGTCACTCTTGCAGGCTTTTGAGATGTCAGTTAATTTGAAACTGGTAGTTTCTCAGGTGTCCTGCCCTCATTTGGTCTTTGGATAAATTAGATTCTTGTTGAAGTTTCAAACACGCCAAGAAATGAAAACAGTGTCTCAGAAGTTTCTCAAGAAAGACAGTTTGTTAAAACACAAAGCCAGTCTGGTGCAAATCGCCTTATCTGTGTGCAGTGCACTGAGGCCACGGGCTGATGGTCACACACAGAGGCATAAAAAAAATGAGTGAGAAGGTCTGGATTCAAATCCCTTTTCTTCCATTTTACTCTCAGTAGGATCTGGGACAAATAACTTTTTGGGACCTCAGGTTGCTCATCTGTAAAAATGTCTATTCCTGTGGGTCTCAAATGATGCACTGTACACAAAAGTATTTTGTAAGCTGTAAATATGATGTTAATTCAAGGTTATATTATTAAAGGGTTATAAACATAAAGATACTTGTTACAAGCAAAAGAGTTATTGAATTTGTCTAGGGTTCAACTGTGGACAATTTATAGAGAGAAAGATTTTCACAGCATGGTCTCAGTCAATGTTTTCTAATCGTGCCTGATCAGAAGAATACCACGAAGAGCTTGTTAAAAACACAAATTGCAAGGTCCCACCCGAGGTGTACCAGGTCTGAATCTAGGGGAGCGGGAGGCTGTTGGCCAGCTGGGGAAAACTGGCTGTGAGGCTCCGACTTGCAGGCTATGAAAAAATAGTTTTTAATCTTCAAACTCAGAGGGACTCACTTCTTGTAGGGACAAGCCTGCTTTGTATTTCTTACCAGAAAATGTATATTATGCATTTTTGTCATAAGGCCATTACGTTTCTAAATATCAAGAGTCCGTTTCAAAGCATGATCATTAGGGAGTCACAAATGCAGAACTGACAGAGATAATAAAGAAAACATAGTGGAAATGTGAATCCATTATATTTTAGAATGAATTTGATAATTTGGCAGTTTTTAGGTTTGCTAATCTTTCAATCAAAATGTTCTTAAATGTGTAATAGGCTTTCTTAGTAAATAAAAAAATAAACTTTAAAAATCTTTAAAAGAAAGTCTAATTCATTTTCCAGCTCTGGTGCAGGCAGAGAACGAATCGCCAGCTGGTACGAGAGAGGCTGCTGTCAGTTCGTTTTCCTGAGGTGACCCTGGATTAAGTCCAAAGCTCAGTACGCATTGCCTCCGATGTTAGAATATTATGAACTGCACAGTCTGAGTGTAATTTGTTTTACTTCATTGTTTTTTATTGTCTTATTTTACTTTATTTACTGTTTCTTAGCTCAAGCTCTACTACCTTAAAACTATGTGGCTTTGCACAAGTTATTTAACTTCTTGCTTCCGTATAAAATGAAAATCATACCCACACCTCATAGGATTACTGTGAAGAATAAATGAAATAATGTACAGGAAACTTACCACAGTACCTGGTAATAAAGGAGAGGTATTACCTAAATTACGTAAATGAAAGGTATTACGTAAATTGAATTTGGTGCAAGTTTTTTCCACCTCATATTTCAAGGTCTCAGTAATAAGAGCTGAAAGGAAGCTCAGGGTCTTCTAGACCAACCACTCCCAGGGGCACATCACTGGGGGAAGCTCGATGCCCTCTGAGGAGCAATCCCAGACTGAGCATGTACTTCCGGGCCCTTCTTCCAACCTGAGACACCTAACCTCTTCACCTCTTGGCTGTAAAGGGATGTTCAATCCAGCATGTCTCAGTGGGGGTATCGGTGGCATTTTGGTAGGGACATTGTTATTTTCATGGGACTGTCCCACACACTGAAGGAGGTTTAGCCATCCTGGCCCTTTCTCATGACATGCCAGCCACTATGACAACCAAAAATGCCTTCGCAAATTCCCAAATCTTCTAAGGAGAGCAATGCTCTCCCTTCTTCTATTGACAACCAGTAGATCTAGTAGGACTCTAGAGAAGTCATCTCTGAGGAGAGGATCATCACACAAAGTGTCAGACATGCTCCTCCTTGTCCACAGTACTTTCAACTATGTGACTGGAGTCTGCCACAGCTCACAGCCACGTCTCCTCGTTTCCCCTCCATGTGCATGTCACAATGCATCTTAAGCACTACTGCCATCATCTCACTGCTCCATTTAAAGACCTGCGATGACTTGTACAGACAGAGAGTAGTATGGTGGTTACCAGGGGCTGGGGGTGGGGGAATTGGGAAGATGTTGTTTAAGGGTACAAACTTGCAACTAGTAGATAAATTCTGGAGATCTAACACACAGCACAGTGATTATAGTCAACAACACTGTATTATAAAGTACAAGTTGCTAAGAGACTAGATCTTAACTGTTCTCAACACAAAAAAGAAAGGATAATTATGTGACATGATAGAGGTGCTAGCTAACACTACTGTAGAACCATACTGCAATATATAAATGTATCAAACCAACACGTCATACGCCTCAAACTTACACAATGGTATATGTCAATTATATCCGAAAAAAAAAAAAAAAAGCAAAATACCTTCATTGACTCCCTTCCACCTGCAGGCTCAAGGCCAGTGCCCTTAGCCCAGCCTGGGATTCAGGGAGTCCCTTGTCCCTGGGTTGGACTCACCATTCATCTCCAATCTCATTTCACATGTGCAAGCAGCCTTCAGCCTCTATTTCTTGGAGTAGGTTCTAATCCCTATATTTCCATTACAGCTTAGCTTTTCAATTTTTTTTTTTTCAACTATGCTAGTCCATGCTGATCTCCTACCTGGTTCTTGGAACCTCTTGTTTTGATTTGGGAGAGAGTCAGTAAATGACCGTGCATGTGTCCCAAGTTCACTTCTTTGCAATCTTTTGGTTCTGCCAAGTCCTAATCTCTTCCCTCCAGGTGCCCCTTTGCCCTTCCTGTATATTTTTCAAACCACCAGAGGAAGAAGAGCAAGATTTTCTCATAGAAGGACCTGCAGTGCTCAGGAGGGGATCAAGGTGTATCTGAACTGATCCAAATGCACTGTCTGATGACAGCGAGTGTGGACAATGTTCCAGAATGTTCAGCAGAGGGGCACAGTAGGCCTTTGCTGCTATTTGCACTCACTGGAGGAAATGAAATTCTACAGCTAATGAATAATTCTCTTTTCAAGTGCAAATGAATAAAGCAAGCTCTGTCAACTCCTAACTTATTAAAACTTTATTTCACAGAATTTCAAAATAGGATTCATTCGGCTCATTTAAAAATGTTCTCAGAGCAACAATTCTAGAGCAGCACTGCAGGAAGCAGGGAACGTATTCAAAAAGGAAAAGTGAAACAAAAAGAAATGTGTATCTTTCAATTTCTATGATTTTTTTTAATTCGAGTCCTGTCTCAAACAATGTCATATTCATAATTCCTTAAATGCTGACTTTCTCATCTGACAAACACCACCGCTAACAATGTAACTCCAACCTTCTGGGAAGCAACACCTCTGACTATCTCCAGAAGTGCTCTAGAGAGCTGCCAGGATGCCACCTGCTTGACGTGTCGTTTCATGCTTTACAGGTGAATGTGTCTTACAGTGATGGGTCTCCTCCCAGATGAAAGCCAACAGCAACAATGACAACCACCACAAACGGGGCTCAGGCCCTTGCTCATGTGTTGTGGGTCAAGCACTGTGCTAAGCAATGTATATGGATGATTTCATTCAGTGATCACAATGATTATCCATTAGGCACTATTATCGGACTCATTTTATGGATCACAAAGCTGAAGCATAAATAACTTGCCTAAGAGCACACAAAGGAAGCCACAGGGCCGATGTGGGATTCCTGCAGTCTGACTGCGATGCTGTTGACTTTGACACTGTACTATACCTACTCTCTCTTGCGAAAGGAGACGGAAACCAGAGGCCTCCTCCATCACTGTCAGACAAGGTGGTCGGGCAGAGGGGAAGGGCTTGAGGTGACTGGTATCTCTCTCATCTGGCTGTTAAGAAAACTACAGGCCACCTGAGGAAGAGCCTTGCCCTGGACCACTTCAGTGACCGATGATAGAGCCAGGGTCGAGCATCTACCTGAGGATCTTCTCCTCACTCCATGCTGTTACAACTTAGAAACCTCACCTCTGCAGAAGAGAACAACACAGATCCCACGCCACACAGTAAAACATTACTACGTTCAAATGAACTATTGGGTTTAAGATAAACATATTCTTTTAAAATTATATAGGAGATTCTCTTTTAATGAGGCATTCAGGGAATTAAACGGAAAAGTTAGGAAGGAGACTGCATGGCATGCTTACAGCAATTCTCTATAAAAGGTATATCCCCCACCACTCTGCCCTCCGCTTACTTACTGGTTCTGTTCCTCCTGAGATGTTAATATCACCACAGCAACAAGAATATGGTTGATGCAGTATCACATGGCTACTTTTCCCCGTAACTCACATTCCTTTGCTAATGCTCCCAAATCCCTGTTTTCATTCTGAAGGACGTTTATATAAACCATTAAAAAAAAGTCTTTGTCTTTAATGCTATTGAGCCTATACTAGGAGATAAACCTAATTTATTCTATATTTAAGAATATGTAACAATAAAAATGAATGTTTACGTGTGTGTGTTTGGTCTTTGTAAAGGTAGATATCTAAATGTTAACAAAAATAGGACTGTTATGGGTGGTTTTTTTCTTGCTTTTGCTTTATTGTATTTTATTTTACAAATGAATCGTATAACGCAGGAAAAGTATATTTAAGAAATATGTTTGCAATGGCACCACCACACAAACCAGAGTCTCCAGGAGCCCTGCACCCTTATAAACCATTACAAAGTCACACTCTTATTGAAGGCGATGCTTGCCTCTTCTCCATGTTTGAGTAGCTGATGTCCTTTTTAGCATCCTCTGGTGGTGGCCTTGATAGCCCAGAACCTGAGGCCCTGCTTAAAACACCCTTAATTGAACAAAGCTTGGCTGCAGCTCTTGGACATGAGCCCTCTGTTCTAGGCTTGGCTTCCAAGGTCATCTACAATGCTGAATAACAAGTCTCCCCGCTGCTCAAATAAACTTGCTCCTTGGAGAGAGGCATCTGACACTCAATACTTGGGTTTGGTGCACTTGCCTAAAACCCCACTATCAGGATCCTATGGATTTCCCATCTCCCTTAATGCAGCCGATGGCAGTTTGGAAAGCAGTTCCCTAACACCAGGTGATGTTCAGCCTGAAATTCTGATAGACTAGGGAGAGGAACAGGACTTGAAGAAAGCAGGATTAAAAAGGTTCTGGGTACCCAGGAGTAGTGGATAAGGAGGGCTGGAAGTTAGTTGTCAATTCATTCTTGAATTCAATAAATATATATTGAGTCCCTCCCAGCACTAGGTGCTGGGTTATACCCTATGGATTCTAAATTGTGTAATAATACATAGGCCTGTCCTTGAGGAATTCAAAGTCTTGCAAGTGAGGTGAAGAACAGGATGTGGGAGATGTACTTCATTACACCTGTACTTCAGCCTGCACAGAATTGTTGAGATAATGCATGTCAAATGCCTAAGAAAGAAGCTGGAACTTAGTAAATATTCAATAAATTACAACTATTTTTAAAATGATTATTACTATACATTCCATCTGCAAAAGAAAGGCGAGAAATGAACATCTACTGAGCACTTATTCTGTAACACGCAGGGTCCTTGATGTTTTCACGTTGTAGCCCTCTGGCTGAATGGAGTGCAACAGAACATTCCAGTGGCTCCATTAGTATGTTAAAGGTACCATTTCATGAAAGGCAGATAAAGGGCTGTCAGGCAGCAAAAACAAAGGTCTTGCCTTCTTATAGTACAGTAAGAAATGGTTCTCTGAAAGAAAATGCCTACCTCTCCTAAAAAAATCTAAATGGCAAGAAATATGTTCTCTGTTGCTGAGTCCTTCACTGGAAGAGTGAAAAGATTAAGCTCATGTTCAAGTCATTATCACGGAGCCAGGCACATGGTGAGCACTTAGGAAGAGGATATTTACCAGGTGAGAAGAATATGTTCCAGGTGAGGAGCTGAAGATAGAGGGTGAATAAGGCATCTCACCTTCAAGGGCCTCTGATAACCGAGCATGCAAGACAAACAACACCACA